TATGTGCAATTTGCATGGAGTTTTGTTTCTTGTTTTTGTTTCTCAACATGAGAAATACTGTTTCACATGTCATTCAGGGGCAAGCCAGACATTATGATTTACATGAGAAATCAGACCTTAAGGGAAGTCTTATTTTAACATTGGTAACTTAACAATACCTCTGTAAGTGGGGAGGGATGAAGTAGGACACCCAGAAGTTGCATTCCTAAGGGAACACAGAGGAAGTTGAGACAAACTTTACCAGAATTACCAACTCACATCTGCTACTGATTCAAATTTCTTAAAAACTGGCAATGGCAGATATTTTGGGTCAGATTGTTCCTAGTTCTGCAGAAGTACACACTGATGGGATATTAAGTGCCATGAAATCCTGAGCAAGAGTTAGTAGGGCTGGTTAGAAAACATTTGGCACAACATGTTTTTGTTAGAACTTGTCAGTTTGTCTAACTCAAAAACAATCTGCAAGACCATGTAGATTTTGATGAAATTCTGTCAGAAATCTGCCTTGGTTTTTTGCTATCTCACCCTCCGGCTAGGTCACCAGTTGATTTTGCCCCCTTCTGGAGTAACAGAGCACAACAGAATATATACAGCTCAAAGACCCCACAAAAGAAAGAGTTTCAGCCCACCTCTGGGGCCCTGTGGATGGCATGCCCTTGACTCAATGCTTACAATGTGTCTATCCTCACCTTGAGGGAGAGGGATAAGTAACAGCTCTTCCACAAGCAGGGTGTTTGTTAGGGGAGCCCAGGCCCTTGCTCTCCATTAGGCTCTGACCCTGAGCCCTAAGAGAGGCAGTGATAACCCAGAATGCTTCAGGGCTGCCTTCTTAGGGGACTTCCTACCACTTGCTTCCCCTTAAGGCACCAAAATACTTCAAGTACAAAAGAAGATAGGAAAAACAACAGAATCTTCAGTACATCTGGTGCCCTTTTTCCTTGCAGGTGGGGAACCTGCTTCAAGCTGGAGTAAGTTCCTGGGTTTCATTCCCACTGTGGCTATGTCTAGACTGCAGGCTTCTTTCGAAAGAGGCTCTTTCGAAAGCATCTTTCGAAAGAACCTCTTTCAAAAGATCGCGTCTAGACTGCAGGCGGATCTTTCGAAAGAGAAATCCGCTTTTTCGAAAGAGAGCACCCAGCGAATCTGGATGCTCTCTTTCGAAGACGGCCTCTTTACATTGAAGAACGCCTTCTTTCGAAAGAGGAACTTTCGAAAGAAGGCGTTCTTCCTCGTAAATTGAGGTTTACCGCCATCGAAAGAAAAGCCGCGTTCTTTTGAAATAATTTCGAAAGAACGCGGCTTGAGTCTGGACGCAGGGGAAGTTTTTTCGGGAAAAGGCTACTTTTCCCGAAAAAACCCCTGAGTCTGGACACGGCCTGTCTGAAGCTATCATTCTCACTGTATGGGTCAGGTAGGCTTCACATTCACTGTCCCTACTGCCATATTAGAATGACAGGTTGAGATCATCCTGATAATTCAGCCAGGTTCTCCACTCAGGATATAGCCTCACATACTTCTTTTCTCCCCCTGCCCAGCAGGAATCCTTTTCTAAGCCTTGAGCAGCTGCCACTTGCAGGTCCCGCTCTTTCAGAAAGGACTCCTGCTGTAGCCTTATTCAGGAGCTCTCAAGAAAGGACTCCTTTCATGTCATCTCTTCTCTACCTTGCTCCTTCCCTGTCCTTCCCTCCCCTTCTGAAGTATCTATATCCCTCCTAAGATCCTCTTTCTACTGCAGCAGGGTCTATAAGTTTCAGCAGGTCACAGTCATCTGGGTCCAGAATGGCTCCTTAATCTCTTCTGTCCTAGTGTGGGGTTTACACACAAATGGACAGAATTCATTCCTGGTGTAAGTCTACTGCTGGGATAAATGCATATGTGAGGACACATTTGGGTGCAAACAATGCAGAATCTTGTGCTTAGTCTGCCAGTGCTTCTCTGCCTTATACAGTGAGTTTTGTTGCAATACTGTGAATCATGAATTGTCTCCTTTCAGATTTCATTTACTTCTGTAAGAATGTAGCAAACATTTGGATCAATCAGATGTTTTTGAACAGTGACCTTGCTGGCACTGGGACAAAGTTCTGCTATCATAAGCTCTCATATCAAACTGGAAAAGGGGAGAAAATTGTATTTGCATATGCACATATATTTATTACATTCATAAATCAGGTGTCCTATACAGTATTCATTTCCCTCTGATTTTCTGGCTATAACTCCGTCTCAGAAGGGCTGTGAGTTTATGATTTGCCTCTTAATAACATTTCATGACCTCAAGGGTTTCTTATATAACTAAGCTTTTGCAGCTTTCCTCTACAATTCATAGATCCTGGGTATCAATGACAAAGTTAATAACATAGCCAAATTAGCAGATACTGAAAATCCCTAGAGGAAAGAGTTATCTATTTTAGGCAAATAATTTAGTTCTAAATCTACATCTGTAAAAGTATCCTTTCTCAATTTAAGCAAGGAAGCAGCTCTAGGAATCTGGAGGAATTCCCCCAGGCTTGCTACTGAGCAGTTTTGATTTGATCTTGGAAAGACTCAGGACTTTCAAAATCTTAACAGTAAGAAAATCAGTTATTAGGGTTTCAATTTTCTCCAGGCAATTTCCACCACTTCAGCCTGCCCAAGAGATAAACTTGCTGTAAATCTGCTATGCTATCTGCTGTTTGGTAAGTTGGTTAATAGCCTCATGAAAAATCTCACTGAAGGGTGTTTTTTGGGTGTTGTGTGTTTTTCCTGTTTTGTGTTTTTGTGGTTTTTTTCTGTTCAGTATGTACAGGCTGGCTGGGGGCTATGTAAAGACATTCCTTGGGTGGAGCACACAGTCATTTCTGAATGTATCTCTGCAGTTTTAAAATAGCCTTTCTTGATGCCAATCTATGCAGGAAACCTAATGAACAGAAAAAAGCCCAGATTTCCTGCTCTGCTATTCTATTACTTCAGTGATGCTACCAAGGATTGACACCACTGTAAAATGGAGCACAATCTGTACAAAAATACATAAATATCCTTGCACTGAAGACAGATTTTTTTCAAAACCATCCATTTCAGTTCAACTTTCTTAAAAACGCACCACTCCTCCACCAAAAAAGACTTTATAACAATGCTCCTATGGGATCAAAGACTGACTGGCCAAATTTAGACTTGATGTAAGCAGGTGTAATCTCAAGGAAATCTCTGGAAAAAATTCATATGTAAAGATTGGTATAAATTATATGAGAGACCAAGAATGGACATATGGGTCAAACCAATGATCCATCTATCCCAATATTCCATCTTCTGAAAGAGGTCAGTACCAGGTGCTTCAGTGGGAATGAATGGAACAGGACAGTAACTGTGGTACAGGAGCCAGCAAACAGAA